TTTTTCGGAGATGGGGTCTCACTGTGTCACCCAGGCTACACTGCAGTGGTGTGATCGAGGCTCACTGTAGCCTCAACCTCTCAGGTTCAAGTCCTCTGTCACCTCAGCCTCCCGAGTAGCTGGGACCACAGGCATGCACCACCAAACCTGGCAAAATTTATTTTTGGTAGCAGGTAGGCTTTCCACTTAAATTCTTCCTTCCACCCCCACAGCATGGTAAAGATCTTGTGTTCTAGCCTAAAATCCAAACCTTTTATTAAAGAACTGATACTCACATCATTGAAGGCACAACACTTTTGTGCACAAGTTGAAGCTTCATCCCACAGTTTGCACTTAAAATAGTACTGGGCCAGATAGCGGAAAGCAGTGCTTTCCTCCAAGTGTTCTACTATTTCCTAGAAAGGGAAAGCAAAATGACTGAGGTGACAGTAATAATAACAGCAAGATAATTCTAATGGTATGATACATACCCCACAGGAATAGATATCTTGGATATATTTGATGTAACACTGGGCAGCCTGTTCCGACTCAGTCAACTGTTCATGAAGCCTACAAAAGAAACTAGTCTTTTAAGTACAAATGATATCTCAAAGCAACTTAGTGATAAAAAGTAAAAGTACACAAGACCAAAAAAACAACAATACATGGGTAAGTATCAATTTTGACATAAATGATACCCTCGCAACTAGAATAGCATTAGATGTGATAGTTACTGTTATCAAAGCTTAAAATCATTACTCTGCTAATGATGGAAGGAGAGTTAATAAACATTACTATCTAAGCTAGATAATACATCCTCGCAAAAATTCTCGAGGATTACCCAGAGTAAGGTGGCTCATGCTTGTAATCTCAGCATTTTGGAAGGCCAAGGCGGGCAGATCACTTGAGGTCAGGAGTTTGAGATCAGCCTGGCCCACAAGGTGAAACCCCATCTCTGCTTAAAAAAAATAATAATAATACAAAAATTAGCCAGGCGTTGTGACACATGCCTGTAATCCCACCTCAGGAGGCTGGGGCAGGAGAACTGCTTGAACTCGGGAGGTGGAGGTTGCAATGAGCCCAGATTGTGCCAGTACACCCCAGTCTTTTTGAGTAAGACTCTGACTCAAAAAAAAAAGCCGGGGTTGGGTGATGACTCAGTGGCTCACCCCTGTAATCCCAGCACTTTGGGAGGCTGCAGTAGGCAAATCACAAGGTCAGGACATCGAGACCAGCCTGACCAACATGGTAAAATCCGATCTCTACTAAATACTGTATATATTTAGCTCAGTGTCATGTCATGCACCTGTAATCCCAGCTACTTGGGAGGCTTAGGCAGGAGAATCATCTGAACCCAGGAGGCAGAGGTTGCGCTCCAACCTGGGCAACAGAGCAAGAATCCATCCCAAAAAAAAAAGCGGCCGGGTGCAGTGGCTCACCACTATAATCCCAGCACTTTGGGAGGCCAAGGCAGGCAGATCACCTGAGGTCAGGAGTTCTAGACCAGCCTGACCAACATGGAGAAACCCTGTCCCTACTAAAACTACAAAATTAGCCAGGCGTGGTGGCAGACACCTGTAATCCCAGCTACTCAGGAGGCTGAGGCAGGAGAATCGCTTGAACCCGTGAGGCAGAGGTTGTGGTGAGCCGAGACTGCACCATGGCACTCCAGCCTGGGCAACAAGAGTGAAACTCCATCTCAAAAAAAAAAAAAAGAACCTTTTTGCCTACTATTTGAGTTATTCCTAATTTTTCTGGCCCCTATCAGGAAATTAAGATTGAAAGTAGTTTTCCTACACTGCTCTGACACAAAAATTTCATCATTTCTTTCTTCAAATCATTCTTGATCCCTTGCTTTAATAGGAAAGCAACTGCCCTCCTTCAAGAGAAGTGGCATTCTCTTTTTTTTGAGACAGAGTTTCACTATTGTCGCCCAGCTGGAGTGCAATGGCGCAATCTCAGCTCACTGCAACCTCGACCTCCAGGGTTTAATCAATTCTCCTGCCTCAGCCTCCTGAGTAGCTGGGATTACAGGCAACCGCCACCATGCCTGGCTAATTTTCATATTTTTAATAGAGACAGGGTTTCACCATGTTGGCCAGGCTGGTCTTAAACTGCTGACCTCAGGTGATCCACCTGCCTCGGGCTCCCAAAGTGCTGGGATTATACGCATGAACCACCACGCCCAGCCAGAAGTGGCATTCTCTAAGGTCAAAATGGCTACATTCGCAGACAGCTTTCATACATCCTGCTACATCCCCACACCCCGGTAGAATGATGGGTAGATAGGAAGCTCTAGAGCATGCAGGACCCACCATCCCAGAGAAGCCCACAGAAATATCAATAGCATTTCACTCCTTTCACTCACTTTGCCAGTTTCACCAGGGCCATTTTCTCCACATCTCCCACGGCGTAAGCTCTCCAATAACACTGTCAAAAAAATAAACTGGTAATTTTGACCATTGTCCCATGTGCCATTACTAAATCATACGAAGGTTAAGACCCTGCAAGCCTCCCAGAGGTTCAGATTTACAGAATGCAAGGCATTTTTACTAGTTCTGATAGGTCTAGGCTACATACTGACATTTCCACTGATGATCTTGGCCCAGCTTTGCTTTCATACTATGTATGTACAAATATTCAGACTTTCCTATGTACCTATATCAGAATAAGGGAAAAATTAAAGCACAGATAGCCCCACATTCATCTAAACAGCAGATCTCCACCCAAATTCTTCAGAACCCAATTTAAGGTACCTTTTTGGCTTCCACTAGTTGATTGAGTTTCTCGTAACATTCTCCTAAAGCAACCAGCATGCGAGAATCATTGGGTCTGAGAAAGAAGAACAGGCAGTCTGAGCAAAGACTTTACAGAAACTGAAGTTCTCCCTTAAGGAACCAGTATGCCACTACTTCAAATCTATGAAACAACTGGACTTTAACCTAATGCTCCATATAATAGATTACTTTGTGTTCATAATTATACTATTAACCCGTTAGTGAAATATACTAAATGAAAATAACAAAACAGCATTTAGCAAGTTTAAACTCAGGTCTCCAAGAGTCAAAACCATGTGATTTGACAATAGCTATCAAAAGGGAAAAAAATATTATTAGCTCCTGCCACATCAGACACATTGTCAAGTGACCAGACTTACCGAAGCTGGTGGGCCCGTCTATAATAATAAAGGCAGTAAAATGGCATCTTAAGGATTTCATAGGTCTGCCCAAGGCCATACCAAGCTCTGTAGTCCCGCTTGTTGACTTCAATGGCATGTCTAAGAAACAGAAAAGACAGACTGCTAAGAAGGCAGAATCAAGGTTAGCAACTTGCAGGCTTAGAGGCTCCTAACATCACAGAAATCTGCTCCACCTCACCCCACTCTAGATAATCACCTATAAGCCTGGATAGCAGCAGATGTGTTCTTCATCTCCATGTACTCATGTCCCATCAGTGTCCAGGCACCCAGATACCGAGGATTTAATTTCAGGGCTCTCTGGAAATATAAGGCTGCTTTCTCATGCTGAGAACGTAAACTGTAATAATTGCCTGATTAAAAATCAAACAAAAAAATGAATAA